AGTTACAGCATTCCCACTAAATAAATCATTTAGTGACAAGGGGGTGGGATTAAATAAATTATACTTCTTCTCACTCCTTTTCGAACATTAGATGTGGCACTGTTTATGTTGATAATGCTGTTGTTGTTGTTGTTGTAAATGTCATTTTTTGTTTTGTCATTTCTATGTTTTGATTTGTTTTACATGACTGTGCACAGCAACATTTGTTTTGTTTTTGTAATTTTACTTGTTCTAAATAAAATCAATCAATCAATGTTAATACATATTTGAGATGTGGCAGCAATGTGTCATATCATATCCTTAGGAGCAGGTAGCCGTAACAGTTTCAAAGTTTGACGGCAACACGATGATCGAAAGGTTGGCCAAATGTAGTCGGTTAACTTTAAAAAGTGACGCCTATGATTAGCCAATTAGAGGAAGCAGGGGATTTAAGAGAGAGAATAATCACATCCTGTTTCACAATGTACTTATTGTCATTCCTTCACTTCAAGGGCTCCGCCTCTTAAAAAGTACTTTGAACTTAGTATTTGATCTGAGGCGTCCACATACTTTCGTCCATAAGGTACTCTTTATTATTTCTGGTCACATAGCTGAAAGAGAACCAATCTATTCCTCTCTGTGCCGGCCCCTCCCCTTTTTATCTTATTTCTCGCTCTACCTCTTTTACTCCAACCCCTATTATCTACTCTCTCTCTCTCTCCTTCTCCCTCTCTCTCTCTCTCCTTCTCCCTCTCTCCTTCTCCCTCTCTCTCTCTCTCTCCTTCTCCCTCTCTCTCTCTCTCTCCCTCTCTCCCTCTCTCTCGCTCTCTTTCTCTCTCTCTCCCTCTCTCTCTCTCTCTGACTCCTGATTGGCTGATTTCTGCCTCGCACTTTATGAATTGAACAGCAGATACACACACACACACACACACACACACACACACACACACACACGCACACATGCACACACACAGCCTGCTTTGTCAACAGCTCACGTAGCGCGGTGCACTCAGACGAGATCTCACACACACTCCTCTCTCCCTCTCTTTCCCCGTCTTCTGTCACTCTGCCTCTCTCATTCAGCCGCAATCTCATGCCGAGCTTCACACACACACACACACACACACACACACACACACACACACACACACACACACACACACACACACACACACACACACACACACACACACACACACACACACACACACACACACATGCAGTCACACACTCCGGGATGCAGCCGGCTTCAGTGATGCTGTGACGCTCGTTCTCACACACATACACACACACCTCGTTTCCTTGCACATGCTTTAGCAAAACACACGCACACCTCGTCAGCTTCTCTCTCGCTGTCACTCAGTCAGTGTGTGTGTGTGTGTTGGTGGAATGAGGCGGTGATGTTTTGGGACAGGAAAAATAGCATGGGCAATTCCCAACGACGGCCCAAAGGAAGACACAGACCCAAATCGGCAACAGGTACTTTCTCTTTCTACATATCGCATTTTCATTCGTTTGTCACCCAATGCGTCTCAGCCTCTTTCCACCCCCCCCATCCCATAACGTCACACACACACACACACACACATTGCACGTTTCATTCATACATTCGTTTGTCTTCCGACTTGTGCATCTTACAATCCGAAACGTCTCATATTCAAAGCATCTCACGCCCCTTAAAGCCGGCCATGCGTCTTTTCTTCCATTCGTTTTACACACACACACATGCTGCTGGCGAGCCCCCATTCATTCATCTGATTATCGTATGCATACCCTAAATCTAGTTTCATTTTGCCATAGGGTCAGTTCTTACCTCCTTTTCTACCTCAATGTCTCAATCCCTTCTTCAAAGTGTGTAACATACAGACTGTTTCATGTCCACACATCTCTCTTGTCATTCCTTATTTTTTTTATATATCTACATCTGAGCCGATGTCTCTCCATTCATCCATTGATTCTTCAATGCAATGATTGTTCTGGACATTTTATCCCAATTTCCCCATCATAAATTGTTTGTCTTGTCATGCCTGTGTCCAATCATCCATCCATCCATTCAAGCATCTTTTCCTCGATTTATTTCTCACACACACTTCTCCTTTTATTCCATTATCTATCAATCTGCCATTGATCCAATGCTTCCCTTTTGTATCCATGTTCCCCCTTTTATTTAGTTTCCGTCCGTCCACAAGTCTCACATCCATGCACCCTTCTTTTCACCCGTTCACCCGTTCCTCTTTTCCTGCATCCAAACCATTCGTTATTGCCTCGCCACATAATCCATTGTTATATCCATTGATCCTTCAGTTTCGCCACCCCTCCCTTCAAAAGGTGGTGTCATTCATCCATCCATCCATTACTCCATTTCATTAATTGTCTCCCTGGAGTCTCATCCATCCATCCGTCTTCCACTTCTCTCATCTTTTCTCGTCTGGGTTGCCAGGTTTGAATGAACTAGGTCAATTGGTCTTTTGCCTCTTGGCGTGTGACTGGGCTGCGAGACTGTTAGAGTGTGTGTTTGTGTGTGTGTGTGTGTGTGTGTGTGTGTGTGTGTGTGTGTGTGTGTGTGTGTGTGTGTGTGTGTGTGTGTGTGTGTGTGTGTGTGTGTGTGTGTCTCTGTGGCTTTGGTTTACTCGCTGCTGTCGAGCTGAAAGCGTGCAAATACTAAGATTTATTTTACACATTTTGCTCACCCCTGCCTCATGCTGCAGTCCCGTGCTAGTGTGTGTGTGACAGTGTGTGTGTGTGTGTGTCTAGGTGGAACCAGTTGGACCTGGCCATTGTCTTGCTGTCAGTGATGGGCATCACCCTGG